TACGTAGCACCGTAAACGAAAACTGTATACGGCGCCGTATTATACCGTAATTGAACTGTAATACGGTGCACCGTATACGGTCACTGTTTCCAGGCCGAAAATCACCGTAATTTAGCCGAATACGGTCCATATACGGACCGTCTACTGGACGCAGGAATACGGACCGTAACATCATTAAAATAGAGCCGTATACGGCCGTATTTTCACAATATACGGTCCGTAAACGGTACCGTTTCTGGGCACAGTAATACGGGGTCGTATACTGTGAAAATACGGCCGTATACGGCTCTATTTTAATGATGTTACGGTCCGTATCCCTGCGTCCAGTAGACAGTCCGTAACGGATATCCGTTATGGTCGACCTGGGTAGAGTAGAATTACCATTCAGTGGCATTAATAGATCCGAAAATCAGAAAAGTGACTTTTTAGAAAAAAAACTTTCGATTTTTTAGAATACGAACGTCTAGTCCACTTTCCCTGATGAAGTCCCTGGTGAGCCCCCAAAATAACGCGAAATCACTATGGAGTTCTCAGGGATTCCCTATAAAATCCCTAGTGACTTCATGATTTTCAGAAAATGGGGAGAAATACTGAAGTCGCTGATGATTCAGTGGTGACTCTCTAGGGATTTGTTAGGTAGAATGTACAACATATTCTCCGTTTTGTTTTGCGTCTGCTGAAGTATATAAAACGTGAAAATTTAAACAGGAACGTTTTTTTAGATTAATTTCTTTCTTTTTTTAGACAATTGTAGTTTAGTCGCTCTATTATTATTATTATACATTTTGCGTCTTAACCTAATGTATACTATAGTCTAGAACACAAATAATATTTATGGGGAAGAACAATAAAAACTGGACATGTTTCATTTATTCATACTTTAACTACACCGATTTTGCCATGTGCTTAAATCAGTTTTTTAGAAAACCATCCCAACAAAAAATCTTAAACTACCTTGAAGCGCAGCAAATTTTGAGAATAAAGTTTTGTTTCGAAGTATGACATAAAAGTACACGCACACTATGACAAAAAGCTGAGAAAGTTTTAGTGAAGGTACGTAAATTAATGCTGTATGTATACGGTTACCGTAATGGATTTTATTTCGGCAAATTATCTTTTTTAATAGAACTTTCGCAACTTTTTTGTCGAAGAGTCGTGAGAGCGTGTATTTTTACGTCATATTTCCAACAACAACAAAAATTTTATTCTCAGAATTTACAAGATTTCAGAGTGTTCAAAAAATTTTCAGTGGAATAATTTATCAGAATAATAGTAATCTGAAAACAGATCATGACTTTTGCTCGCTTAAAAAATTTTATTTTTGAGACTATATAGTATCATTAAATTGACATACTATGCTTTTGATAGTTCAAATGATATACAAACTCTTAAGTTCAATCCTACAACGAATCTTGCTTTTTATCTTATATAGATATACAATGAGAGACAAAAATGTCCTTAAATTTTTGCTTTTTCTATTTAAAAAGCACTTGAAGAGTATGTTTGTTCTAACTAACTATACAAAAGACAAAAAGATAAATATTTAAAAACATTCACATAAACTTTATCTTAGAAATAGAAACAGATATTCTACACATACTGTGGCACACTCTCCGAAAAGATGCGTGAATATGTTCAAGAAAATTATTGTAAATTGGTATCATTGGTTTTTTTTCTTCTCGTAGATGTCTACTATCCCTGTCATTGATATTGAACCATTATTTGAATGCAAAGGTTCATCTAAAGTTGCTGTTGCAAAATCAATTCGAGCAGTGTGCGAAAAATATGGTTTTTTCCAAATCGTTAATCACGGTATTTCTCATTCAATTATTGATAAAATGACCGATGAAGCCCTTCGTTTTTTTCGTTTGCCACTCGATGAAAAATTAAAATTTGCAGTTCGAAAATGGAATTCGGCGAACGCAAATGAATATCGAGGCTATTTTCCATCATCAATCAATGGTAAAGAAAGTTTCGATGTAGGAAGTCCATATTTGGCAAAAAGTCATCCATTAGTCGTGTCCAGAGATCCACTACATGAACTAAACAAATGGCCCACAGAACAATTAGGAGAAGAGTGGAAAACAACAATTCAGTTATATTGGGATGAAATGTGGCGTTTATCAATGTTGATTATGCGCGCACTCGCTCTATCATTTGACTTGGATGAATTCTATTTTGATCATTTACTTGATGATCGATCTACAGGTGGAGCTGGCACAGAATCAACCTTTCGTCTCAATTTTCATCCACAACGTGACGATTCTACGTCTGTCTCCATTGATGATGATGGTCAAAAGTTAAGTTGTGAGACACATATTAATGGTTGTATTTTGACCATTCTCTACCAACACAAAGTAGGCGGATTACAAGTAGAAACTGAGCCAAATACATGGACCAGTGTCGACGTGATGCCCTGTGCATTTGTAGTTAATACAGGAAAATGGCTTGAACGATGGACGAACAGTGTATTGAAAGCGGTTAATCATCGTGTCATATTATTAAAGGAAGAACAACTGTTGGCTCCATTCTTTTTGCAAGCCTGTCATTCTACTCCAATTTCCAGTCTACAAACAATAGTCGATAAACAAAATTCACAAAAAGATGATTCAATTAATTCTGAATCATGCATTACTGAAAGTAATGAGGAATTTAACGAATATAGACGAGAACCGCATATTGAACAAGACGACGAGTAACTAACAATATGTACAACGAGCAAAAAGAAATTTTATTGAACTGTTTGATGAAATCGATAAAATTAATTTTTCTAACTTATTTTTCCAAGTAAAAATCATTAGAAAATTACAAATGAAAAAAAGAAGAAATGATCACAGTGTTGGTTTAATTTAAATGTGACTTTGGAACTGGTTAAAATAGTTGTTTTTCTAATGTTGTTCGTGAATAAATAATCCGGAGTTCCTCGAGATAACGAGTGGTTGGTAGTTATTTTTCTACATTATTTTCATGTATTTGAAATATGTATTTGTCCAACTCAACGAATAATATAATTATTGCTGTCGTCTTAGGTGGAATAAAATATCTAATAATACATATCATACATACGAAAATAAAAACGCAAAGTATTACACCTAACGTTGTTGATGAACCATCACCTTCTAAAGCCGTCTAAACGAATATATCAGACAGATAACAATGATTTACATATTTATATCGTCATAAGGAATAAAATCGTAGCGTCATAAAATATAGCGTTATATATTTGAAAGTTGTCTTCATCATCTGAACAATAACAATGCACTCAAGCTTCAACACAATTTCTTTCTAGATGAGGAAAAAATATCATATATTACATGTATATTCACATAATTTTTATTATTTATCTAACTGTCGTTTCAAATAGCATGCATTAAATCTTTGTGGTTTCATATAATGATTAAATGTTCATTAATCTGATAAAATATTGAAACTACACTAAGCAACAGAGTACCACGAAATAGTAAAAAATTTTCGCCGTACCATCGTATGCTAACAGATTCTTGTCTCACAATAACTCGGCAATGCTTCAATGTTTCGATCTTTCAATGTACGTTGGACAGTAAGAATTACTCACTGTAAACGCCATCTAAATCATCGGGATCAGAACGTAGCATCCTAAAAAACGCAGTTTTCTAGAAAATCTGTAGAGACAACAGTTAGAAATTTGAAACAAAATCAGAGTGATGCTCTGTTCAGTTATCAAACATTTTTAAAAGATGGTAAAATCTTAAGTGTGTAAAAATCGGGATGAGCAAAATTATTAAATGATGCAAACCTTCAACATTGTTATTTATCGAACTACTGAGAAAATCATAAAAATTACATAATAAAATATCAAATAAGCTATCTTCAATCCAAATTTCAGTAACATAATTAAAAAATGGTGTAATTCCATTAACAGTATCATACTCATCCATTGTTTGACTCCATAAATCTTTCACAGCAGTTGATGGTATAAATGCTAATACAGTCGTTTTTTTGTAAAGATCTTTAACATTAATTCCATTTGAATCATCATTTAGCTAATTAATGAATGCAGACTGAAAATCTAAATTTTGTAATTTTGTGTACAAACACTTATTGAAATGGAAATTACACCCTTTGATTTTGGCATTAGGAAATAATAATTCACATGCAGATATAGGACCTTGTTCAAAACCTAATGTGACAAATTTTGGATTCAAACTAATATTATTTTGATTGCATACGTTTTAGATATCTTGAAGTAATGAAATGTAAGTGTTTTTCTGTTTACGAGAAAGTAATGATTATAATTTTGGTAAGTATAGACCATCATTCACACTATGTATTGTATAAACTTGATAATACGGCCCAGGACATGACTGAAATGTTTCATTCGTGAACATATGCTCACTTTTACTTAATTCGTCCATCTAGTATTCTAATATTAGATTTTGAGTATGTGCTAACAAAAATGACTCTTTATTTAACGTTTGACTCCATATACCTAAATAGCAAAGGATACGCTTAATAATGACTCATTCCTATAAAAATTTAAATAAAGTGTACCAGAGACCGAAACAGGTCTTAGGTGGATGACCCGAACACGACCCGAAAGTTTTTTACTCGAACCCGACCCGACCCAAAGTCTTTTCGACCCGATTCGAAAAATTTTCGAAACTTGATCTGAATGACCTGAAAATTTTTCTTGGATGGTCTAACAATTTTTTCTGGAAAAAGAACAGAAGCTTGTAGCTTTTGTAATAGCATAAAACATTTATCAGATTTTTTCTCCAGGTTATGGTCCATTCAGATTGTGATTGTGATAACCCGAACGAATCAATATTTTTTACATTAACCCGAACCCGACCCGTTTCGGTCTCTGGAATGTACTACTTACCATGTACTTTCACATTAGTCAACGTTTTAGGCGCTGGAGGGAAACGCTCGTTTCCTGCTGAATATAACGATGTTTTAATTTGTTCAAAGATACGTATTGACTATACTTGATCGGGATTTGTTGTTTGTAGTTCTAACTAATTCTTGCCTAAATATTTTCTTACTAGTTCTGGTTCTTCTCTAATACATTTCTTGACATTTGTTGTAAATTCTTCCACATTTCACTGCCCTTGATCAAGATTGTGACTATGTTGTTTTGTTTCTTTTGGATCATCCGAACATTTTTGTGATGCACGATAAGTACACAAACGATCTTCACATTTTCAATACTTCTTACTCAATCTTGTGTATAACAATAACCGTTTAAAATTAAAACTGGTTTTTTATGTTTACTGTCGACGATGGAAAACATATAATATAGCAAAATGTGAGTAATAGATAGCATTCTTGATTGATAGATGATTTTGTGAGCGGTTTAATATCATTGATTAAAATGTATTTATACATTTTTTATTATTCTGTACACTATTAGATTTGACAAAGAATTGTTGTCCAATTGATGTTTTTCACTAAATTTTATAAACTTTTTTTAAATTTTGATATTGTAGTATGCATTTTTGTTGTTCTGTTATATCAGCTATAATTGCAACCGTAATTTCATATTGCATATTGTCGTATATACAATTAAACAGTTTAGTTTTCCATGTTTTACAAGGGGTTTAAAAAGCTATCTCTAAAAAGCGACCCTAATTTATTCGATACAAAATGCAGACTTAGGATGATGAAATAAATTGACCAAAAAATTCAAGTTTAGTTGGTAAATGTTTCAGTTGAACAAGGGACAATTTTTCAAACATTTCTCATTGATATTTCGAAATTTGAGATAGAATCGATTGCATTTGTTAAATAAGCTCTTACCACAGAAATAGCTAATAATTTTAATTATTTGATTACAATAAACTTCTTGAACATCAGCCAAAATCACTTTATTTTAATTTTTTTCAACTATTTTGAAGCATTTTGTACAGATTTCTTCAGTTTGAAATTATCATAATACCGTTGTTATGCCGCTATAACGTGCGAAGGTTAATTTTTCTTCTTTTAGAATAACTTTTTTTTCGCTTCTATTAAACGTGCATTCGTTTTTGTACAGGAAACAAGATTATCTGACTGAAATTAGAATTTTGATGGTGAATTCTATTCTATTCTATCCCATCCAGTTGAGACTAAAAATAGTTCCAACTGAATCTGCATTTGACAACGGACACATAGCTCTTGTGCCCCACCATTCAGGAAATGTTACATTTTGACTAGTCAGTATTGCTCCTATTAGGATAAGGCATATGTTGGAACCAGCATCCATTGCAGCTGAAAATAAATAAACATATCTTCTCCACCAGAGTTTTCCAACAAGCCAATTGCATAACAATCCAACGGTAAGCCAAGATATAAATGTACTTGTTGATACGTTTGGCATCCATGACGTTAATGTTAACATAAGAGGTATATGTACATATTTTAACCATCGACTATTAGGAAATTTCCAACGTAAAAGCCAAAATGGAAGAGGAAGTATAGCACCAATAAGAAATGACCATAAGAAGATGTTGTAATTCATGCCTTTAAAATACAGACCATTGTTGGCTAGAGGAGAGTTGTCAAATATTGACAATGAATTCTGACATGACCATCCAGTGTATGTTCCATTACAAACACCTTTGATATTGTGAACGATAAAATATTGCGTACAATAACTAATAATTGAACAAAGTAAACATGTTGCGGTTTGAGTAAAAAACATAACTCTTGGCTTTATCTTCATATAATGACCTAATTTCATGTTCGAGACGAAATACAATGTTTGACAAAATGTCGTATATGAAAAGGCTTTAAATGTTTGAAGGGATGAATTCCGTTTCAGAAGAGCACTCCCAATTGTCATACAAATAATAGCTACACTCTGATTTTGAATTATTTGACCGGTAATTGATGTAAGGATGCCAAATGGCAAAACAAATAAAAATGCAACAAGTATAGCGAGTAAAACATCATACCATGGCATCAAACTACTGAATTGAACAGTGATTAATGATACAATTAGTGACATAAGAAAGAGAGCAAGAAACCACCATCCACGAATATCAGGATATTTTGACATCAGTTTACAGTGAACATCATTGCCCTTGCTGGATACGGATGTTTTAAATTGTTCTCGGATATCTGTTGAATGATAAAGTATAGTATGAACAATTACAGCTGTTAAACAAGCAAGCGTTGCACTCGACGAGACAATACTCATGGCCGACATATAGCCAGTCTGATATACTTGATACACGGTCTGATTGTTCGAATCGAGACCAACGATTGTTTTGACTCCCTCTGCGTTGAAACTAACATATGGTTTATACTTATTATCTGGTATTAGTACACCGAACATTGCTATCGGATATGCTTTTGAATACCACGTATTTGTGTAGTATATAATAGGTGTCATAATCCAACTAACTATAATAAAACCCACTAGAATATTCCACAATGCCCATGTTGGAAGAATTACCGGTGAACCCAGATACTGAGTAATCGAATACCAATCAAATACAAATGAGCCTAGTCCGAGTCCTTGATCACCAGTTATTTGTGCAAGCAAAAGATTATTAGGTCTAATTATACATATCAACGAGAAGGCTGTCAAAACAATCATGATGTAATGCGGAAACCAACAATAAATAAATTGACACACGAGGGCGATGAGAAAGAATGTGGAATAGGTTATCTTCCATTGTTTTCGTTTTCGACCAGCATCATGTAATGTACGTAGTGCAGCTATTATAGGGAATGTTGACGGCCATATTAGACCGCTAGGCCATACCAGAAATTTACGCATCAAACCTAAACGAACAGATATAAAACATTCGAACAAAATGATCTTTGAAACATTCATATCACGGGATCGAAAAATTTTAAAAGCTTGTTCGGTCGCAGATCAGTCTTCTCTATACAGTCGATTATCTGGTACGTGATGACTTTTGGATCGCGGTAGTTTGGAAAAAAAAATCTCTCAAAGTTACTGTAGACGACCAAAAGCAAAACGATATCGAAAAATTTCTCTAAACTACCGCGATCCAAAAGTTATCGCGCACCAGATAACCAACTGTATAGAGAAGACAAATCTGCAACCACTTTCGATCAATTAAGCTTTTAAAATTTTTCGCTCTGATGATATTTAATTACAAAACTGGCTGTTTCAAAACAACAAAATAAACTATACAATATGTACTGAAGTATCGTATATTACAGGATGAAAAAGCTAAAAAATTTCAGATTACCTGCGAGACCATAGCCCAATAGTTGAATGGAAATATTGAGAAAAAATCCAATTTCAAATTTCATGTTTGATAAATAATAATTTAATTCACTATTTGAATAAAAATACGTATTTCGATAGTTCCAACAAACATTGGCCGCTATGGCTATTATTGTGTGCTCTTTGACGGTAAAATGTCCTGTTGGATTCAATGACATATTCCAATGATAGATACGAATAGATTTTCGTGGAAGAATAACGTTTAATAATTTTGCTAGCGGATATGATAGGAGAATAACAGAAATTGGATAAATAGCAAATTTAACTTTGTAATACCAGAATATTTGATGAACCATAGACATAATGACGATAAAAAGGAAACTCAATAGACAACTCTTGAACGTCAAACATGGCATTGATGGATCATCTTTGTTTGGGATTGTTGCAGCAATTTCTTCGTACGAAGATTGTTCAGAATCGATAAAATCATTATTTACAAGAGATGTACGACGGATCCGCGTTACTGAACTAACTAAACATCGATTATTCGTAGTAAGATAATCAATAAGATTTAATTCTAAACAAAATCAAACACAAATTATTGTTAGTACTCAATCATGGATATTCTAAACAGACCAGAATAGTTGACATTGGGTACAATGGATATTTCCAGTTTTTCGTCTCTTTTTGTCATTGACTGTAAAATATCAAACAATAGTACGATAGTACAAGAGTAATTTCAAACTAATTTCTTCATTCTTCTTTAATATTGTGTTTATTATCGCTATATTTACATTTAGTTTGTTTCATATAATATTATATATTCGACACATGTTTTAAACTGATGAAATCGATTAAGATGTTATTTACTAATTATTTCATAATATATATATGTATTGTCAAAAACACAGTTCGTTACAGAACATTATTTTTGTTCATTGTTCTGGATTTGTTTATCGTAATAACTATTCATGCAGAAATGTACACTATAATGACATAATATTCAATAAGATTTATGCTGTAATTTCTGTATACAAATCGATACACGCACACGTTTAATATGACTAAGTTCTTTTTATCTTTTCATTCTCTAATAAATCACTGATAGGTAATCTGTATGATACAGATATATAATTGATACACCTACGCAGTGAACAAAAGGATAGTAACTATACCTATTACTTTATAAT